CATCTGGGTCCAGGGAGGGCTTCTTAAGGAGGGGCCTCACCACCGCCTCCTTTAGGGCTGCGGGGAAGGCACCCTCCCGCAAAGAAGCATTTATAATTCCCTGGAGCCAGGCTCGTGTCCCCTCCCGAGCCGCCAGTACCAGCCAGGAGGGACACGGGTCCAATAAACATGTGGTTGCATTCAGTCCCCCCAGGATCCTATGGCTGTTTCCTGGAAACAGCTACTATTTTTGGAGTGGTTGCAAGGAATTGTGGCTGCTCTAAATATTGCAACTGCTTCCAGAATGAAACCATGCAACCTAGGAACAGACCAAACTGCTCTGTTTCCTCAGAACACATCTGGATATTTTTAAAGCACTCCAGAGATCATGTTAGAAAGGCAGAGTAAACTGTGAACAGAGAGATCTTCTTTGCTTTCCTAATGTGAGCTCTGGAGCTCTCCAGAACACTCTGGAGACACAGCCAATTTCACTGTATACATGTTATACTTTGATAATAAAGGGTTTATTTATTTATTAGGAAAGCAGAGGTGCCTGCAAATAGGGGGTGGGATGGAAGGGATAGGGCCTGGTTAGATGGGAAGGAATACCACGTTCTGTGGAGATCCAGTGGTGATGCTGGGGAGGGGGGCAAAAATCAGGCCTAAGGACTGCGGGATCCCTGAGTGACAGGAAGTGGAGCACAAGTTGCCTTGGGCTTGGGGGATGCCTTGGGAGGCCTGGTACAGGTGGGCCTGGGCTTGTGCTGGGACTTCCAGGGGTTTCCTTATCCCTGAGTCACCCCATATTCTGCGTAATGATCTGTGCAGTTGCTTAATTACTACATGGGGAGAGCAGATGTGTAGGCCATTAAATGAGGCGATCACATGGTCACCTTGCTTATTGACCATCACGACTTGCAATTGTAATGGGCAGGTTCCATTATGATCGTGAGTGGAGGTCTAGCTGTATTGAAATATTTTTATCTTACTATGCCAACTGGAAAAGTATTTTAGAAAAAGAAAAAGAATCATAGATACAATAAAACTCCCCAAATTACAATTTATAATAATAATTCATAGTACAAGAAAATGACAGAAAAATGTCAAGTTAGCACATAATAGTAAAAGTTGATATACGAAGAAAAATGATTAATTCGTAATTCATAAGGGTTTTTTGCTGCAGTAAAATGTGTTTTAATATTTCAAATAGAGCATAATAGGGCAGCTAGACAAATGGTTGTATACTTTAATTGACATTAAAATATTTCTGGACTTCTTCATAACATGCAAAGAAACTGTGGAATTAAACAAATGACATGATTCTGCCCATTTGGTGTTCTTATCATTATTATTCTGCTTAACTATGGTTCACCTTAGAAGTATAGAAATGCAGTAACAATGATATGGAAATAAATGTTAGTTTGTGAATAATGGTGCAACTTCTTCTGTTATCCCAGTGCTAGGATTTTTAACTCTGGCTTGCAAAACGGCTAGTTTAGATTGCAAGACTAATAAATGGCCATGTTAGAATTAATCATATACAGTAACTGAAGATATAATGGTATGCTTAATCGATCTTATTTTTTACGTTATTATTTTTTACTATATAGATTTGTCTTTCTGATATAGTCCAGAAGTAAGTTAAACAGATTTTTATCATAGGTTTATAAAGTAGCTTGGGATAAGCTTTAGCAGAACTAATTTAAAAATATATTCCAGAAGAATGGAATGGCAAACCATTTTTGTACTGTTGTCGAGAAAACTATGTGGAGTGTCCCTTAATAATATTTAATGGACAAATTTATTTTATCCTTCATAATAGATTTCCAAAAATAAGATAAATTTGACTTTAAAAAATTTCAGAGAAAAAGTAGATACAGAAGATAGCATATGTATCAATTTATGTATAGTACTTATCAGTAAATTTGTAATCCTACTGATTTTGGAGAGAAAAAACCCCATCACCTTCTGAGATATAGATTATTAAATTTAATAAATAATTATTAAACAAATTCTGGGGGCAGCTCAAGAAAAAGTAAATTGAAAAATGCATAAGTATTTAAGTGATTGAATTAAACTTACTTGTTCATTACAAATTATCTAAGGAGCTTAGGAAATAAATAATAATAATAATCATCGCCAGATGGATTAGTAACCAACCACTCTCAACAAGTCCTTAATGGAACTGTATCTTCAGGCAATGGGGTATCTCAAGGCTCTATCTTAAGTCCAGTACTTTTTAATATCTTTATAAACAATTTTGATGAGGGGATAGAAGGGGAACTCATCACATTTGCAGACGACACCAAGCTGGCAGGAATAACGAACGTTCCACAAGCTAAGCTTCTATCTAACAAAATGAAGTTCAGTGGCGAGAAATGTAAGGTTCTACAATTAGGCAAGTAAAAGGTGGTATAGAAAGGTGGTACTTAGTACAATATAATAACTGAGAGGGATCTAGACGTTCTAGTACAGAGGTCACCAATCTTTTGGGCACCAGGGACCGGTTCCGTAAGGATGCATGGTTTTGTGTGCTGCCTGCATACCGTGGATGGGGCTTTGCTTGTTTGTGCGGACCGGTTGCTGGCATGCTGTGGCCTAGTACTGGTCACGGATCGGGGGTTGGGGACCCCTGGTCTAGCAGACAATCACTTAAATTTGAGCCAGCGGTGTGCTGCAGTTGCCAAAAAAGCCGAAACAGCCCCAGGGTGCATTAACAAAGGGATAGGATCCAGATTATGTGAAGTGTTAGTACAACTTTATAATGCCTTAATAAGACCACACTTGAAATATTGCATCCAGTTTTGGTCATCATGATATAAAAAAAAGACATTGAGACTCTAGAAACAGTGCAGAGAAGAACAACAAAGATGATTGGCGGCTGGCGGCTAAAATATGAAGAACAGTTGCAGGAATTGGGTATGTCTAGTCTAGTGAAAAGAAGGACTGGGGTAACATGATAGCAGTGTTTCAGTATTTAAGGGGCTGCCACAAAGAAGAGGGGTCAGCCTATTTATCAAAGCAGAACAAGAAGCAATGGATGGGAGCTAATCAAGGACAGAACCAACCTAGAACTAAGAAGAAATTTCCTGACAGAACAGTTAATCAGTGGAAGG